TTGTGATAAGGAAATGCTAAAATAACATGTTAACTGTCGCTTTCACCTTGTCCCTGCACATAATGTCTTCTTTCTACATAAAGTTACAAGAAGAGCTACAACTTTATGGAAGTGCAGCAGCCTATTTACAGTAGGTGCTTGTTGTATGCAGTCCTGTGTATATAAAGGGGAAATATAGCATTCAAATCTCTAAAGGAATCATACAAATATTAAAGGTGGGGTAGGTAATTTTGGAGAAACCAGCTTGAGTGCGCTAGAATTTGAAAATACACAGCCGGAACACATCTGCCACTTCCTTACAGAGCCCCTCCTCCAACACACACGAACACGCACATGACCAATGAGGGCACGAGATAAGTTAGTGCAGGGGTTCCCAAACTTTGCCATGCCAAGGACCCCCATATAGCATTATCCTCTGGCGGGGACCCCCCTGTTGCAATTTTTTTGATTGAAAATATGACAAATTAATCATACAGCTTAATACATTTTCTTAATATATATTTGTATTAATAATGAATAATCAGTTATTCTTCTAAAAAATGTTTGTATTTATCTTTTGTTTGTCATTCATTACATTCATTGTGTCTTCTGTTATAAACATTCTTAACACAATATTAAACAGTAATATCAACAGCAAACATATTTTTAAAGCATTTTTAAAGTGATTTCTGTCTTTATAATATTATATAATCTTGAACAGTAATATGAGCAATTAACATATATTTTTAGCATTCTTGAAAGCTACTTATGCCTTAATAATATTATATATAATATTCAACAGTAATATTAACAATAAACATATTTATATTCATATATATATAAACAATATTTGCTACATCAGTTTCACTCTCAGTAGCGGCAAATCGATTCTGATTGGCTTGAAGGGCGGTCATGTGATTTAAAAAAAAAAAAATGAAATATTAATAAATAAAAAATATTAAAAGATTGGCATCAAAGGACACATAGATTGATAGATACAGTATGCAGTTATTAATAACATCTAAACAAAAAGATTCCCCTTTCCCTCAAACTTTGCGTGACCCCCCTGGCACCCCCTGTCGGCCCCCCGGGAGGTCGGGGCCCCC